AAAAAAAAAAAAAAAAAAAAAAAAAAAAAAAAACTTTCCTGTGCACCTGTGCCTGGCCAGAGCAAGATTCTGTTCTGCAGCCCTGCTTCAAAGCCTGACAGAAGTAACAGGCCTGGTTAAACTAGAGATCGTGACCTCATCTTTATGCCTCCATTAACTGTCCCCCTTTCACAGTCACTGTCACCCAGGGCCCCTGCCTCCTATCCTCTCATGCAATCCCCCTGGCGGTCACTGGATTACAGACTGAAGCTGGGAGCACACAGAGGTGGAGGAGGTGGCAGGCAAACAGAGGAGAGAGCTGGCGATTCAAATGTCACCACCTCCACGGGCCTTCTCTGACCCAAATCCCAAGTTGCTCCTTTAACTCCCCACACAGAGTGTGTCACTTGTATTCTGCTCTCCTAAGGAATTTATTACTGTGAATGAACTGTCCTGTCCGTAGAAATATTTAAATTTTCTGCCATACTGACTCCCTATCTCTAGCTCATTAAAAGGCAGTGTAATTTTCATGTGCAGAAAAGACCATGTCAATGATATTCACTGATACATCCCTGGCTTCCAGAACCGCGCCTGGTACAGAGTAGGTGCTCTAAAATATCTGTGAAAAGAAGACCTTGGGAGTTTTCCAGCTGCATACAACAATCGCTCTGATAAAGAAAAATGGCTGACACTTCCCACACAGCAAAATTACTTGTCACGCATCCTAGAATTCCACTCTAGAGCAGAAACCAGAGCAGGTCCAGAGCAAGCCTACAAAACTATCAAGACACTTCCACATCCGGAGCGTCTAAAAAATCTGGAGATAGACCAACAGACCACTGATAGGAACCTAGCAAGGTCTAGTGAATTTGTGATCCTTCCACCCCAGAATCCTGGCTAGAAAAAATTGCAGTGAGAATGGGAACCCTCCGATACCATCACAGGCAAGGAGAAGAATCGTTTTGATAACTGCTTTCTAGGTACTAGATAATCCTCTATGAAGTATTCTGACCTCCTACTTTGCAGAGAAGGAAACCACAGATCAAAAGTTTCAAGTAGCTTGCTCAAAGTTAGAGCCAACTAAGAAGGGAAACAGGATGTGAGCCTGATATTCTTGCCCTGTACCGTCCACACCAGAGCAAGTCCCGAGAAGGTGTTCTGGAGACAGGAAGGCCACTCCATCACCTCAGACGGCCCACAAGAGCCCCCGGGAGCGCTGCTCTCAATACTAGCTTATTCTGCAGCAGCATGGACCTGGCACACCCCCGGAGGTCCTGTGTTCAAAGGCTTAGTCCCCAGGAGGCTGCACAACCCGAGAGGCCAGCCTGGGGGACGGTTTGGCACCTGGACTATGACTATGGCCGATTTGTTAGTATGTGGGGAAACACACCATGCTCTCATCCACCTACATGTAAGGAAAACATTTTGAAATTAAGGGCCATTTCTCCTGATGAGTTCAAGGATGCACTGAACATGACCCATGATGAATACAACATTTTCTGTTGAGTTACATTATTTTATACTGAGTCATAACTATGTCTAATACACATTATAACCATTCAACATGCTAGTTTAAGGAAACAGAATTTGTAAGGTAGTTTGTGATGTAAATATTATAATAGAGTATATACCTACAAAGCCAATAAAAGATAGGCAAAACTTAAATACGTTGTATTAAAATTCAAAGCTTTTTCTTGAAAAAGAAAGTTCTTATCTCTTTAATTAGAAATTAAGTAGAAAATTTCAGTAATTAAAATATCAAAATTGACTAACCTTACTTCAAAATACAATTAAACTCCAGCCCACAATAACAGTCCTATGGAAATGAGAAGATACACATTGTTTGAAATAGGTCTAGATTCCCTAGGTTAGTAAGTATTGGAGGTTCTGAAGAAGAACAAGTTTAGAATATTTAATTATAGCCCAAGTCCTTCAGTGTCTGATAGCCCTGTCTGTTTCAGATGAGGGTGGAGGCCCAGACGCCTTCCTGTGGACACAGCAGGAGTCACTTCATGGAGACCCTCAGGCTGAGAGACCCTGTCAGGAGCCAGGCAATCGGGGCTCAGCCCACCTCGAAACTACCTGGCAGTGCTGGCTTGCATTCTACACATTAACTGACTATGACACAGCTCCCACAACTGGAGCCTACGTCACGGTCATGTAGACACTGAGCACACTTCTGAAAAGCACCTCTGAAAGGTGTCCCTCAGGCCATGCACACGTGGTCCTCCATCCGACTGGACAACTGGGATCTTTTCCAGGTATAAAGTTCTAATAGAAAGCTTTTCAAACCCAATGTATATCTCATGCTTGACACTTTCAGGTACACAGTGGGGCCCTGCTCCTTTTATATCACGTACCCACCCACATCAGTAACAAAGACATGATGTTTTCATTTTTTGTTTGTTTTGGTACCGGGGATCTAATGCAGGGCCTTGAGCTTGTGAGGAAGGTAGTGGAACTACTGAGCTAAATACCCAGCCCACAAAGACATGATGTTTTTTTGTTTGGTTGGTTGGTTTTTTTGGTACCGGGGATCGAACTCAGGTCCTTGCGCTTGCAATGCAGGCGGAGGAGCAACTGAGCTAAATCCCCGGCCCAAAGACATGATGTTTATTCACACCTTTTAGCACCTGGGACCCTAGGAAGAAACACCACCATTTCTGTCAGGAATACACTCCTTTCTTTGGTCATCTGTCTTGTACCCCTCACCAGCATGCCTTTTCTGCGTAGTACATACCTCTGAACTTGAGGGAGAAGGAAACAGTGTAATACTTAAATAAACACGAAATTGTAATTCATGTTTTAAATCCAAAGAAAAAACAAAAATGAAGTGTGGTTTCTTTTGTAAGCCCTTTTCTGTTCTATGTTTTTGGGAATATAGCTACTTTTCTAACCACAGTGTAAGTTTATCCACTTTACAATGTGAGGAACTATAAAAATAAGTCCTTTAAGAAAAAGTCCCCTTGGAAGCCACATGTCTGGTGAAAGCTAGGTGGCCAGTGGCTGCTCTGTCATTCACCCCTGAGAGTCCTGATGCTCCTTACCCTGACTGAGGCACACAGGTTACCATGGATACAACCACCTCTAACCTTAGCCCACAGTGAGGAGCAACAGCTGTTGAACCACACTTGGGACTTGTGCCATTCTCTGTTCTATATAAATGGTACTTGGTGAAACGGTTTAATGTCACAATTGTTTTTGAAAGATTAAAAACAAGCAAGTTACAGGAAACATCTGAAACATTAAGTAGCAGCAAGGTATGGAAATTTAACCTGTGAAATAGGGTAAGAAGCAAAAAGCATTGTACAATACTACATTTAACAGAAGAGGCAAGGCTTTTCTTCAAAATTTCCCCTAACCAAAATAGGGCTTTAAAAACTAAACTGATAGGGCTGGGGATTTAGCTCAGTGGCACCATGCCTGCCTTGCAAGTACAAGGTCCTGAGTTTGATCCCCAGTACCACAAAAAAAAAAAAAAAAAAAAAAAAAAAAAAAAAAAAAACTAAGCTGATAGCTGCAGGCAAAATTTATTTGGGAGATTCTTTGAGGAGTACATACTTAAACTCTGGGCAAAATACATAAAAATAATATTTAGTTTAAACTATTATTTCTAAAGGAAGGAACTGATTTTGGGGTTTTGATGATCACTACATTTCTTGACACCCTCAACTCAGCAGTGAGTTTTAAATTTCAGAAAAATAAAATGTGGTTAAAATAGAATTTACCTAAACATATTAAATAAAATATTTAATTTATTTTATGAAAATGTAAAATATCATCTGATCTGTGACTAGAAGTCAGGATCTCTTATCCCAACACCTAGTCAATGTGAAAAATAGCATTTATTTAATTTGATATCAAAAGTAGCATACCACTGTATTTTCTCTTGTTGCTCTTCTGAACTCTCCTGACTCACCAATTGCAAACAACATTCACTAGTGTGATCACATGGACACATGTAATCTCCCCACCATAAAGTAGATGTTCACGGGGTGGGGGATCCTCCCCGACTCTCCCTGGATCTGAGGTCACACATTCGCCTCCCACTTGCCACAGACTTGGCCGCATGACCTGCTCTGGCCAATGAAAGCATCAAGAAGCAGCAAACACTCAGCCATGATTTCATTTTCCCTGCCATGAGATTAATTACTCACCAGATAGGGGTGAGCCTCAAGCGGAAGTGGCATGGACCAGAGCTGAAGCCAGTCTACACTGGACGCGACAGGAGCAAGTCCATTGGATGTGCTGCTGCTGCTGGACCAGAGTGACCTGGCCTCTCCTGAGTGATACAGGCCCGCGTGGTGCTGGATACATGCTTGGCATTCCTGACAGCGCAGTTCCTCCCACAGCCATGCTAGGGACTCCTCTCAACTTGTAGATAAACAGTAATATTCCTGGCATCTACTAGAACAGTAAAAAATAAAAATTGTATACATCCAATAAAACTGTGGGTAATTATTTCCTTTTCTGTGACCTATTTTTCCCATTTATTTCTTTGCTGCAAGCTATAAGCCCCAGAGAGCATCCTTCTTATTAGGTGTAGATATTTCAGAGTAAATGTGATTGAATGCATGGTTTTGTACAGATCTTTCCCCTTCCGCCCAACTTCAACTGTGCCACCCTTTGGGCCATCTCTTGCATGGTAACTCAAGTTAACATTCATATATATAGTGATAAAGTGTTTTGTCATATTTTGATTTACAAAAAAGAGGAAGTTAATTTTATATGTACTCTTTCACGTCTTGCTTTTATTCTCAACAGCAGCTAGCAAAAGTCCTGCCAACTATCTGCAATTGCTACCAATATGTTCTCCTGAATATACACATAATATTGCATGGAGTAGATATATTATATTCATTCAGAGACCGTCTATTTTGTGTGTTCCTTTCTAGTATTTCAACAGCGCTAACAAGGTTATAATAATCACTTTTGTACACAGATTTATGAATCAGTGGTCTTATTTGTATCAGACAGATTCCTAATAGTAGAACCATTGAGTCTAAGTGTATATTTTTAATTTTAATAGATAATGCTAGACATCTTTCCCAGAAAGCTACACTTCACATTTCACCTTAACATGCACTGTAGTTATTGTTACCTTTTGCCAATCTTTTTTTCTCATTTAGTTTATTGGTACATGTGTGTAGTACATAATGTTTACAGTCCTTGTGTGGAGCCGTTACATGTACGTAACACATCTTAATTCTGTTTTTATTCCCTCTTCCTTCCCTCCCTCCCTTCTTTCTCCATCTCTTGAGATCCCTTCTCCTTTGAGAAATACAGTGGTGCTTTGGTTCAATAATCATGGAAAGAATTAAGTTTGTGAACCAAGTACCACTGTATCTACTGCCTTACTTTCTATTATCTTTTATTTTGCTCTTTATTTTTACACTGGGTTTCTCATGTAAGAGAAATCATGTGATATTGAAGTTTTTGTGTCTGGTCTATTTCACCAAAATTTTTGGTCCCAAGGTGCATCCATTTTCCCACAAATGACCCAAGTTTATCTTTCTTTATGGCAGAGAGCACTCTATTTAAGAAAGCATGTTTTCTTTATCCAGTCATCTGTTGATGGACATAGAGGCTGCTTCCAAGACTTAGCTATCATAAATTATGCTGCTATAAATATGGCTATGCATGTATCCCTGTAATATGTCTTTTACTCTTTCGGAAAGATACCTAGAAGAATAGCTAGATCAAATGAAAGTGCTATTTTCAATTCTTTTTGAGAAATCTCTACACTGATTTCCATAGTAGTGGCAGTAGGCTACATCCCACCAACACTGCAGAAGAGTTCCATTGCTATTTTCATATTCACTTTCCCGGTCTTTAGGCATCCTTTTGAATGTTTCTCAACCATGTGATCTTGGTCTTGAACAGTCACTTGTATGCACATTTGCTTTGTCTTCCCAGGGACCAGATGCCTTCTTCTGGTCAGCACTTAAGAGTTCCCTGGCACATACAGACTTGCCTCAGTCAGATGTGCTTCAGTGAAGGACGCACTGCAGCCACAAGGAACATACTTCGCTGACAGCCTTCAGCCACTCACTAACTCAGGTCCACCTCCATCTCTGAATAGGGTTGCAGTCTACCCGGGCAGCCGTGGGTGGCGAATGTGAGAGGCCCCTGCAGCTGAAGCCACACTCTTCCCTCACTAGGTTGCCTCCAGCATGGGCTCAGCCAGGCCCTCCCCTGGGACTTGGGCTGGTTAATAGCTCCTCCTCTTCCTCGCTTTCCCACTCCATGTGTTTCTCCACACTGTCTTTTGTTCCCTTAACTGCGTGTTTCCCAAGAATACCACCAGCACACCTGTTAAGACACTAGCCTTGTGTCATCTCATTCTATAATTATTATTTATTGACTTTATGACATGTTGCCTTCCATATAATCAAATACAACTATCTCTTCTCAGGTTTTTGAGTCTCCAGTATTGGTTAAATAGCACTTTTCAAGCTAGGATGTGGCTCAGGGCAGAGAGCTTGCCAAGTATTCTTGAGGCCCTGGGTTCAGTTCCCAGCACACGTTAGAACACACATTTTTATTGATCCATATTGACAGAGAAGTAAATAAAGTTTTGCCCATGCTCAGTATGCAGGTTCTACCGGTACCCTCTTGGTCAGTGTGTTGGGATAAAGGGAGTATTTTGAAGGAACACTGAGGCCACCAGAACCTAAAGAAGTCGACAACTCTGATTCACTGCCTGGCCCATAAGCCCATTTAAATGAACTCAAAAACTATATTACCTAGTTTAAACCAAAACAGCCCAAAATGGGTGAATGGCTTAAATATTGCTGGAAAGCATCATGAATCAAAGACAATTCCGGTGAATGTTTAGAAGATATCAGAGCTGACCCTTCTCCTGTTCCCACCATCTTCAGCATACAGTAATAGCAATGAGTGTGTACTGACAGGAATCGCCCCTAAGGCAACACTTTGACCCTTGGATGTGCACCATTCACAATATTTCTGAATATTGTGTTCTTCAGATAATATGAAGCCATCACTGTTAGCAAGATTTTTGGGGGGGGGGATTGAACTCGGGTCCTAGTGCTTGTGAGGCAGGCAGCAGAACCACTGAACTAAATCCCCAGCTAGTAAGATGTTTTAAAGTAAAGTTTGTTTCATGTTCTTAAATCTTTTTGTTTGTTTTGTTGTGTTTTTTGAGACAAGCTCTCTTTATGTAGCCCAGGTTGCCTTGAATTTATCGTTGTCATCCACCTGCCTCAGCCTTCTGAGTGCTAGGATTGCAGGCATGCTCCACCACGCCTGACTTTAAAACTCTTTGGTATAGGTTTTATAATGTGCACTGATACTAGTAGAAAGAATGAATATAATAGACAAATACAAAGTATATACATCCTCCAAAACAAGTAAGCGTGTTCAAGAAAACCATGTGGAAACCACTGCAAAAGAGCCAGGTCTCCAAGTTCTGCTCAGGTGCTATCAAGCCGAGCAGGTGGAGGAGGAGTACACTGCACACATGCAGATGAAAGGAACTGCCTCGGGGAAAGCACAGAGGAGTGTGAGGGTGAAAAAAAAGAATGGAGGTAAAGAAAGTGCTAAGAATGCCGAAGGAATTAAAAAGAAGCAGAGTAAGCACCGAGGAAGAGAAAGTGGTCCATGCCAGGGAACCAGCACCGCAGTACAGTCAGTCAGAACATGAGAGAGCTCACGCTTGCGCATCACCCTTGCATGTGCTCTCTAAGGGCAAATGGGGCAGCTACAAGAGAGCCTGAGATCTGGCTTTATAAACAAGTAAGTTAGCAAACCAAACAAAGATAAGACAGAAATAACAAAAACGAAAAATGAAGATAAATAAATAAAAATGACTCAAACCAAGTTAATAAATCCAGCCAGCCAAATTAAAGTAACTAGTACCACAAGAAAGTCTAGGTAAGCCAAAGTTTTGGGGATATATTTGTGCTATAAACAACTTTTTACTATTCTTTTGAAACTTATTTTTACTTTACTTTAATACATATATTTGTGTGTGCATGTGTATACATAACAAGTATTCTGATGCTTTCTTCCTTTCTTCCTTTTTAGTGCTGAGGACTGAACCCAAGGTCTTTGCACTAAGCTACATTTCCACCCTTTTTCTTTTTTTAGACAGGGTGTTGATAAGTCACTAGGGTGCTCTGGCTGGCTTTGAACTTGCAATCTTCCTGCTTCAGCCTCCCATAGTGCTGGAATTATAGCATGCATCAATATACCTGACTTTATTTGACTTTTTATTTTTACTTTGTACTGGTAAAAATATTTAATATGTTCCATTAACAATTTTTAAGTCTTTAATACAGTATTGTTGGCAATAGGTACATTTTCCCCATTCTTATAGGGAAATAGATTTTTTAATAAAGAATTTATGCCCACTGGCTGAATGTCGGCTCTGTGCTGAGACTTTACATGCACTACCTCATTTAATTGTACAGCAGCACATATAGGACCTCATGGAAAGACTACACAGGTCCTTCACAAGCACACAGCAGACACAGAACCCAAAGCTCCCCTGCAGCCCACCTCTTAAAACTCAGCCTTGCCAAGATTTTAAACAGGTGATTGTTTTCCATGTGCTCAAATGATGGCTTTGAATTTTGATCACTTCTAAAATTTTTTAGTGTTTCAAGGAGGGTCGATCTAAATAAAATTTGATATATAATATAAATAAAAAATAAATATAAATCAAATATAAAAGGCTTAATTCTCCCTGTCAAAAGTAAGAAAGAGCCAGCGTGATGGTACACACCTATGATCCCAACACTTGCACTTGGAAGGCTGAGGCAGAAAGATCATGAGGTTGAGGCCAGCCTGGGTCCACAGTGAGTCTAAGGTAAGCCTGGAATATACAGAAAGAGGAGAGGAGAGGAGAGGGGAGGGCAGGGGAAGTAGGGGGAGGGAGGGGAGGAGAGGGAAGGGAAGAAAGGGGGAGAGAAAAAGGAGGGAAGAAAAGGGGACAGAGGGGTGGGAAGGGAGAGAAGGAGAAAGGAAGGAAGAGAGAAAAAGAGACACTTCTCATATTTTACTATTTCTCTGTCCTTTCCAAAGTTAGGTACATCTTCATATCTTAATCAGAACTAATTGGGCTTCTTGCTAGTCTTAAAACTCAGTATTTCCTGAAGAACCTTGGAGACTGTATCAAAGACAGCTCCCTGACCTCTCATTTCAGTGGCAGGGCCACAGCCTAACTTTAGTGGTCACTTCACAAAATGCCTTCTATCATAAAGATATAAGAAGTTGGTTTTTTCTTTGAATGTAGCCAATAAACAGGCATGTGAGAAATAGGCTTTGTATGTTTTGTCAAAGCCCAAGGCCAAAGCAACTCCATTTTGGGTTTAAATGACTTGGTCATCTACTCACTATCCAACCCTCCT